GAGGAGAAGCCTTTGGTCCTTTGAATGTTCAATGTCCCAGGGTGAGTAGGAAGGAGAGGGTGGGTTGTTGGAGTAGCACCCTTATAGAAGCAGGGGGAGGGAGGATGGGATAGTGGGTTTCTAGAGGGGAAACTTGGAAAGGGAATAATATATGAAATGTAAATAAATGAAATATGCAATAAAAAGGATAAAAAAATGCTACAAAAACAAACAAAAAGGAATACAAGCTGGAAGCAAATCATTCAACACTCTTCAACTTACTGACTGAACTCTGACACTTTATTAGAAAATATACTTTTAATTATAATCAAGGGAATATTCTTAAAGGATTATTGTGATTCAAAAAAGTGTATACTAAAACCATTACCAAACTTACTATACATCCAAAAATACACATATCTAATTATTACCACATGTCCCATACATAAACATATACTCTTACATAGCAAATAAACTCAGAACTTCTGTTGGTTCAGACTTATGTATTTTTACTTATGTGCTTTTCACTTCTCAAATTTATTTGAATAAAATTATACAGTACATATCCTTCAGTGAATTAACATAATTTTCGCACTGTAACAGTTTCTTTAAAGGTTCACTAATGTACTTTGAATAAATGAATAACATGTCTTTGTTACTGGATATGCTGGTAATGATAACATTTATTCTGAAATATGGACTTTTTTTTACCTTGAGTAGTTATGAATAAAGATACTAGGAGTGCTTTTATCAGATTATAGATGAACATACATCTTTACCTTGAGCAGATACATGGACGTGTATTTGACAGCTTCCATATGAGAAATAAAAATGAGTTCATTGACTGTAAATGGCTTTATACAGGCATGACAATGTTTTGTAAGCATAACCTTCTCCCATTAATTGAGACATATATTTCCTTATGCTCAAGAAATACTTGATTATTGCATTATTATTTTAGTATTATTTTGTTTATTGGTATAAGGGAAAAACTACGCTCTAAGGTATCAATGTAGGTACACTGCTTATATTTAATTATCAGCTTTATTTGTATAATTCACTATTAATTGTAATTTTTGCTCTAGGTCATTGACTACTTAATATGAACTTCATTTTGTTGCTAGTAGCTTCCAGATTTTTGACTAAATGTTGCCACTGTTAATAAATAAATAACAAGATGTCAAGTGTAGTTGCCCCTAGAAAGGTGTTGGTTACATGTAGCAACTGGCTCAGTCAGATTGCCTGTGGTAGAAATTATTTTCATAATTATATACTGACAAATATTTGGAGACCCAAATTACAGCTCAGTAGAGCCTCACTTAGCTGTACCAAAAGATTTTGAACATATTGCAGTCCCTTCAACAAATGTCAGAAAAAGTGCATATCTATATAAAAGACATATCTAGGCACAAGTAAATCAGCCCTTAGATATACTACCTGAAAATTATCAAAGAACTGAATGTAAACATGAAACTAGACCACTCTAGAACATGGAAAAAATCTATTTATTCCCAGGTTTTGAGATAAGTTAGTACACCACTAATTTGTTAATCCATCAAAGGAGTATAGGACAGATTTTAATGGTGTAGCAAATACTGGTCTATAGAAAACACTGAAGAGACCAGGATATTTTCAAAATTTTTACTAAAGAACTACTGAGTTTAAAAATCAAGGAACACTTCAACAATGAAGACAATCTTTTTACTTATTTTTGCACAATGCATCTGTTTCTAAAACTTATACTATAACTGTATCACTTTTGAAAATATACAGATGGCCTCAGCATGCACATCATCAAAAGAATATACATAGAGTAGTTCAGTCTTAAAAATATACACTATATTTTTGATACTGGGCATGTAAGTGAAGTGATTAATAAACTGCTACATATCTGTAAGAATGCTACAAGTACAGAACACTGGCAAACAAAGCAATAAAATGTGTGTGGGCAACATGAATTTCTTTTTTTCTTTTTTTGAAATGATATTTTTATTGGTTATCTTATTTATTCACATTTCAAATGCTCTCTCCCTTCCCGGTTCCCCTCCACAAACCCACTATCCTATCACTCTCCTCCTGATTCTTTAAGGGTGCTACCTCACCCTCCCACCCACTACTACCTCACCTATGCTGGGGCACCAAGCCTTCACGGAAACAAGGGTCTCTCCTCCCATTGATGCCAGACAAGCCATCTTCTGCTACATATGCAGCTGAAGCCATGGGTCCCTCCATGTGTACCCCTTGGTTGATGGTTTAGTACCTGGTAGCTCCTGGGGGGTCTGGTTGAATGATATTCTTGTTTTTCCTATGGGGTTGCAAAGTCCTTCTGCTCCTTTAGTCATTCCTCTAACTCCTCCATTGAGGTCCCCATGTGCTCAGTATTGGTCAGGCTCCTGTCAGCAAGAACTTCTTGGCATCAGCAATAGTGTCTGGGTTTGGTGGCTGCATATGGGATAGATCTGCAGGTGAGGCAGTCTCTAGATGGCTTTTCTTTCAGTCTCTGCTCCAGTCTTTGTCCATATATTTCCTTTAGACAAGGCCAATTCTGGGTTAACTTTTTTTTTCTTTTTTTTGTTTGCTATTTTTTATTGAATATTTTATTTACATTTCAGATGTTATCCCTTTACCCTATTCCCCTCCCACCCAGGAATCCCCTATCCCATCACCCCTCCTCCTGCTTCTATGAAGATGTGCCCTCATCTACCTCCCCACCCTCGAATTCCCCCACACTCAGCATCCAGTCTTCATGGAACCAAGGATCTCCTCTCCCACCTATGCCAGACAAGGCCATCTTCCCCTACCTATACAGCTGGAGCCATGGGTCCCTCCGTATGTGCTCCCAGGCTGGTGGTTTACACTCTGGAAACTCTGGTTGGTTGGTATTGTTGCTCTCCTCAGGGGCCTCAAACCCTTTCAGCTCCTTCAGTCTTCTCTTTAACTACTCCTTTGGGAACCCCTTGATCAGTTCAATGGTTAGCAGTGAGCATCTGCCTCTGAATATGTCAGACTCTGGCAGACCTCTAAGGAGAGAGCTATATCAGGCTCCTGTCAGCATGCACTTCCTGACATCCACATCAGCATCTAGTAGGTGCTGGAAAGGGTGTGGAGAAAGAGGAACGTTCCTCCACTGTTGGTGGGATTGCAAGATGGTGAAACCACTCTGGAAAACAGTCTGGAAGTTCCACAGAAAGTTGGACATAGCATTACCTGAGGACCCAGCTATACCACTCCTAGGCATATACCCAGAAGATGCCCTAACATATAACAAGGACCTATGCTCCACTATGTTCATAGCAGCCTTATTTATAATAGCCAGAAGCTGGAAAGAACCCAGATATCCTTCAACAGAGGAATGGATAAAAAAAAAATGTAGTACATTTTCACAATGGGGTATTACTCAACTATTAAAAACAATGAATTTAAGAAATTCTTAGGTAAATGGATGGAACTAGAAAATATCATCCTGAGTGAGGTAACCCAATCACAAAAAAACACACATGGTATTCACTCACTGATAAATGGATATTAGCTCAAAAGCTTAAAATAGCCAAGATTCAGCTCACAGACTACATGAAGCTCATGAAGAAGGAAAACCCAGTGTGGGTGCTTCGGTCCTTCTTAGAAAGAGTAACAAAATACTCAAGGGAGCAAATATGGAGACAAAGTATAGGACAGAAAATGAAGGAGTGGCCATCTGGAGACCATTCCACCTGGGTATCTATCCCATGTGCAGTCACCAAAGGATGAATTTCTATTCACTGTTGATGGAAATGCAAATGGAGACACCGCCTTGAAGGGCAATCTGGTGATATTGCTACAAAGCATGTTATTACTCTGTCATGTTGCAAGCTCTGTATCACGTAAAGGATTTAAAACCTTATTTCCATACAAAACCAGCATGGCATATCTATTGCAGCTTTTTTTTTTAATCTTTTAAAGCCTGGAAATAAACATGATCCCTTTCTATAGGTGAATGGATAAACAACCTTTGGCATACCTAGCCATGGAATAGGATTGAGCACGAAAAAGAAATGAGATATTGATATGTGGAAATACATGAAGGAAACATCATTGCATATTCTATACAGAAGCTAGTCTGAATATTTCATTTCCTTATTATTCAAACTATAGAACATTCAGAAAAACAGAAAACTATAAGGTAGAAAATTCGTTAGTGTTTTGCTGTTATTAGAGGGAAAGAGCTCTGCATGGACTTCACAGTATTGCACGGCAGAACAGCTCAGTGTGCTCCACAATGGAGGATACATCCCAATATTTACCCTTACAGAGAAAAAGCCATTAATTATATGAAAGCACAGCAATGCTCTGAGGAAATCATGTTCTCTGAGTGACAACAGTAGTCATCCAGACTGAGATAAGGTCACATATCTCTCCAAATACACCACTATGGGGAAAGATGTTCATAATGGGAGAGGCTGAGCATGGTCAGGAACACTGGGGACAAATACAGCTTCATTAATTCTTAAACTTCCATGCTTTCAAAAGGAATCTACATGCCAGTCATTCATAACCAAGTGTTTGTAAAGTCAACTTTAACTTACCCTAATGGATACTTCAGGTCCCACATGACTTTGAGAGTTTCATGTTCTAACTTTTTTCCATAAATGAGTCACTATATTCAAGGTACAAAATATTTTGATATTTTTTTCCTGAGCTGTATTGAGGAGTTAAAGAAAGTCATGAAACAAGTTATCACGAGAACTGTGGAGGCCTGGGGCATGTTGGGGGCGTTCCCTTGAGGAGCAGAGGTGGAGGTGGCTGAGGGGTTTGGTTTCATTGTGGTATGAGAGGGTTGAAGGGAACCCTCCCGAGATCTTGCACGGCCCTGGGTCCTGCCTTCATTCTAAGGAGGCCCTGTTCTCGAGACCGGTCCCAGTGACCCCTGTGAAAAGGTTGTCTGACCCACCAAAGGAGTCACGACCCACAAGTTGAAAACTGCTGACTTTGAAGGGCATTCTCCATCCTTATGATATTTAATTCTTCAGACCAGGGAGAATAATGGAGCCCATTGTGGATATGCTGCTGTTCTTTGCGTTGGGATTGCTTGTCCATTTTGTGTTCTTCGCCTCCATCTTTGACATTTATTTTACATCTCCTTTGGTCCATGGAATGACTCCTCAGTTTACACTTTTGCCTCCTCCAGCAAAGAGATTAGTGTTATTTGTTGCTGACGGCCTGAGAGCAGATGCTCTTTATGAGTTAGATGAAGATGGAAACTCCAGAGCACCTTTCATTAGGAATGTTATAATGCATGAAGGCAGCTGGGGAGTATCTCACACACGTGTGCCAACAGAATCTCGGCCTGGCCATGTAGCCTTGATAGCTGGCTTTTACGAGGATGTCAGTGCGATTGCCAAAGGATGGAAAGAAAATCCGGTAGAATTTGACTCTCTTTTTAATGAAAGCAAGTACACATGGAGCTGGGGAAGTCCAGATATCTTGCCTATGTTTGCCAAAGGTGCTAGTGGTGACAATGTTTATACATATAGTTACGATGCTCAAAGAGAAGATTTTGGTGCCCACGATGACACAAAACTGGATACTTGGGTTTTTGATAAAGTTAAGGACTTCTTTGATGCTGCAAAAACCAACCAATCTTTGTTCTCAAAATTAAATGAAGAAAAAGTAGTTTTTTTTCTTACATTTATTAGGAATAGATACAAATGGACATGCTCACCGACCATCATCAAGGGAATATAAGGACAATATTAAAAATGTTGATGATGGAGTGAAAGAAATTGTGTCAATATTCAAGCATTTTTATGATGATGATGGGAAAACTGCATTTGTCTTTACATCTGACCATGGAATGACAGACTGGGTTCCCACGGGGCCGGTCATCCTTCAGAGACTTTAACTCCTTTCGTTATTTGGAGAGCTGGAATCAAATTCCCTCAAAATGTGTCAGCTCAGCAATATGATGATGAGTTTTTAAAAGAATGGAGATTGGAAAACTGGGAGAGGCAAGACATCAATCAGGCTGACATCTCACCACTGATGGCATCCCTTATTGGAGTCCCCTTTCCCCTTAATTCGGTGGGAATACTTCCTGTGGGTTATCTTAACAACACTGGTCTCTTCAAAGCAGAGAGCATGCTTACCAATGCAGTACAGATTCTTGAACAGTTCAAGGTGAAAATGACTCAGAAAAAAGAAACTACCGTTTTTGTTTACACCATTTAAGTTGCTCTCAGATTCTCAACAGCTGGACATTTTAAGAAAAGCAAGATCTTACATAAAACAAGAAAAATTTGATGAAGTTGTGTCCCTCTGTGAGGAGCTGATTGACCTTGCCCTGAGAGGACTGTCCTATTATCACACTTATGACAGACTGTTTCTGGGCGTCAATGTTGCAGTTGGTTTTGTGGGTTGGATGTCTTATGCTTCTTTGTTAATCATCAAGTCTCATTCTTATATCCCAAGACGCACTAGGAAGGAAGGTAAGAAGCCTCACCATCTCCTGCCTTGGAGCTTCATAGCTGCTGGTGTCTTAGCAGCACGCTTCCTGGTGATGCAAGCCTGTTCCTGGACTTACTACGTGTATTGCTTGCTGCCAGTGCCCATATGGTATGCAGTACTAAGAGAACATGAAGTTATTGAAGACCTGGTTGGATCACTATTGACTTTTCCTCTGAGCCATTTTGTTGCCTACTTGCTTGTCTTTACCTCGGGTATTGAAGTCCTGGTGCTCAGTTTCTTCTACTGCTACATGTTGACAGCTGGACTGATTGTGTTTGCAAGTTGGCCGTTTCTCACTCAGCTGTGGACCCGAGCAAAGATCACCTGCCTGAGTTGGGCTTTCTTCTCTTTGCTTCTTGCAGTGTTCCCACTGATGCCTGTTGTGAAAGCCAAACCTTTCTCTAGTAATGGGTGCCGGATTGCTGGTTCTTCTGCTGTCCCTGGCTGTTCTAACAACTCTCGTAAAAAGAAAAACTAATTTGGTAAAGGACGAACTGTTGGTACTCCTGTTACAGATGCTGAGTACAGTCCTCTCTGTATATGTTGTGTACAGCACCCACCACAGTCTGTTAAAGAAAGAAGGCCTGCTTCTTATGAATCAGAGTGTGAGCTGGGCAACATTAGCTTCTTCCCTGGTGGCGCCGCTCCTGAGCTCCACAGCTCTCTCTCAGCGACTGGCCAGCATACTTCTTTCCCTGATGTCGACCTACTTGCTCCTAAGCACGGGGTATGAAGCTCTCTTTCTTTAGTGTTGTCCTGTTTGATGTTTGTCTGGATACACGTGGAACAAGAGACCCTTCAACAGCCTGGCGTTTCTTGTAAACAGAAGCTTACCAGCATCCAGTTCGTCTGCAATACTGACATAGCTCAGTTCCGACAGCTCTGTTTGGATGACATCCGTAGGGCCTTTTTCCTCGTTTTCTTTTTATTAGCTGAATTTTTTGGAACTGGAAATATAGCTTCTATTAACAGCTTTGACCTTGCCTCTGTGTATTGCTGTCTGACTGTGTTTAGTCCTTTCATGATGGGAGCACTCATGATGTGGAAGGGAGGACACTGTCTATCATGGAAGGATGATGCAGAAGCAGAAGCATAAATCCAGCCTCAGCAGTCAAGATGCAGAGAGATCACATTTCATCTGCACACAGGAAGGAGGGAGAAAACAGGAAGTGGATCCAGACTGTAAAAAAGCCTACCCCCAGTGATGTATTTCTTCCAGTAGGACTTGGTCATCTAAAGGTTCATAATCTTCCAAACAGTGCCAGCAGTACCCAGTGTAATACATGTGTCTGTGGGGAACATTTCTCTTTCAAACCAGTATAATGGTTATACTTACCTGTTCCCACTACCAAATTTCTCTTCTATAGTTCTTGGCACATTTTATGTAGTTAGTATACATTTATTTTACTACTCAGATACATAAGTAATAACTGTTGAAAGTGTATGTCCTCTTAGTAGGAGTTTTTTTACTACACCAGTTGTACTGATTTTTTTACTACACTAATAGAAACGTAATTTTTAAAGTGGTAAAAGGATATTGGGCATTTTCTTATGGCCCATTCTCTATTCTCTGAATATGTTTTCAAATTACTACACTGAGCATGAGTTTATATCATGAATAAAATGATGTTTTTAAACTCAAAAAAGCAATAATAAAATATCTGAGTCATGTTCATGATATCTAATAACAAGCCAGGCCCAGAATGCTGTGAATCAGAACAACAGGCTGCATAAATAATTCTCTTTTATATGTTCTTGGAAACATGAACATTGTCATGAATCAGTAGAATGTCTCACATAATGCAAAATTTGTAGATTTTAATTTAAAATACATGTTAGTGTTTGCTGTTATTCTTTGTGTGTTGTTAGTTTTTACATCAGTTCTCACTCTCCTGTGTGACAGTTTCGTATTCTATCTCTGTCTCCTATCAACTGGTATACATGAGTTACTTGAGAGATTAAAGGCTGCTCTATAAGCAGAACATGTTTCAGGTGCCTGTTACCAATGACATCATTTGTTGTTCCTTGAAACAGATTTTAATTCCTTTTGTTCTTGTGATGTGTGCTTTTGAAGCAGTTCAGATAATTACCCAGTTGTCATCAAAAGGATAAGATAAATACTTAAGAAGCCTTGGGTTTCCCTACTTTTCATAAATGAGAGAATGGTTGAAGATATTTCATGTGATTGCTACTAAAACTTTGTAACACAAATTGTTTATTATAAGATTAAGAATTTTTTTCATTTTTAAGTTTTAGGTGTCATTAGAGGAAATTGGTTGATTCAGGCCTTTAGCAAACAAATGTACTTTCTTTACAATAAAACATTAGAATGTTATTCAAGCTAGTGAAGACTCTAGAAAATCATAAATTTTAAATACTATAGTTATTTATTTGTCTCTTATGCTATAATGACACCTATAAAAAATGAAAAGGGGTATGTATCATTGCAATGTCTCTTGGCATCTTTCTCTTTTTTTGATTAAACTAATAAAATTTATTTAAAAAAACAAAAACAAAAAAAGAAAGTCATAAAACAAAAACGAATTTACTTATAAAAAAATTCACTCAGAATAAATATATGATGTCTTTTTGCATTGACTTCTGTGTGCCTGGAGCACATTTCTTTATATGGATTAGAACACTCTTCAAATTGCATTTGGGAAAAAAAACATATACCACTTAGTACCTTCATTCAGACTTAAATACCTTTGTTCTTTGTTTTGGCTCAGTTGAATTAATAGTGCTTATTATATCAGGAAAATTATTCTTAGATATGTAGCTGTGTAGCTGAAGTGGAATAAAGTTAGTTCAGCTGAAAGGGAACATCTGAAGTTTCTTAGCCAAATGTGCCCATAAATTTCAAACCTAGTTGTATCTGAAAAATGCTCACAAGCCCTTTAAGTCCTGCCAGAGGCAGATGGGCAGCTCAGCTTCACACTTCTGCTTTCTCTCATTGGTTTATGTTATGTATTACCAGACATGGGAAATTATAACTCTAGTGATAGTAATAAGTTCGACAATCTCATAATTCCAGGTTGTTGATGCTGAGGGTAAAACCTGTCTATGAGTTGCTACCATTGAAATATTAGGGGATTCCAGAGATGAGTTCAGTATCATACTTAATGAGGAACCTTCGAGTCTGGCATGGTTTTTGTTGGTATCAGTTCATATGTATGGCACTATGCTCATAGAATGCCATTTGATGGTGACTCTTTTCCCTGGAGTCATACACAGGATATCTGGAGATGGGACCATTAAAATGTCACTTCTGGAGGCTGAAACCATATGAAACAAATTACAACATGGCTGTCTACATAAAAAGTAACTCTAAGCCCCTTAGAAAATGGAAAGAATATTGTTATTTTCTCAATTTTAAATCTAAACAGTAACAATTACATAAGTTGCAGAGTTCCCAAATGAAGAAAAACATTTAGGTATTTAGGTAATATCCCTTTATTTCTAATAGTTTGACCTGACATATTGAGGAGCATAAGTCCAACAAACTGTGGTAGTGAGAGCACTTTCATATTTCTCTGTATATATGCTCATTATGAAACAGGACAAGATATACCATATTATAATGTTCTAACCATCAGTTAGACAACTTGAATGAGGCACTTATGTAAATAATAGGAGTTTCAAGTTGCTGTGAATACTGAGGGTAGCAGGTTCCTTGATCCCTACCCTGAATATATGATGTCTCCTTCTGCTGGTAATTTTATAAAGTGTTGAAATTTGATGGACTGTGGATGCTTTTTCATATGCAGGGTTGAACAATGAACATAATCTAAAATGGTTCTTTGAATTGCTGAATTCATGTGGAATGAATAAATCTTCATTCCCTGTTGTCAATTCCAAGCAATACTGACTCCCTTAATTTGTCTCAGGATTTGCTGAAGAGTCTTTAATTGTCTAAACATAAAAAAATATCTCTTCATGTCACAACAGTGTATCATGTCAATTAGATACTTAAAACCAGAAACTTCAATGATTTCCATAAATAGTGTTCAATTCTCCAGAATATGGGATGGAAACATTATAACATCTATGAGTTTTCTCACTGGGAAAGAGTTTTAATGGACAATATATCAAAATATTTCTTTACCTTTTAAAGATGAAAACCAAGTTTTGCATTTGCATGTCTTTAAAGAATACAATCGGCCCCTCATATATGGTACAACTGATTTGTCATAAGACCAATATTATCAGTCAGCGTGAATCAGGGGAGGACTCTTTATCATGTTGATGTTTTCAAAATTTTGGGATAACTTGTCTAATCTATGTGGGCATCGTGTATATCAACTGGCCTTGAAATTATTGTGTGGACTTCTTATGATTATAAGTATTTTGTTTCTACCAATTGATGGGTGTTGTAACAACTTACTGCAAGGTGGAGGGTGGTTTAGTGGAGATGCTGTGGCAACAAGGGGAGTCAGAAACTCTGCCCCACTAGAGAGCCTGCTGAGGTGAAAATATCAGGCAGGGGCCAGGTGGCCTGATGGTGTTGGGCTTAGTATGGGATCTTGGCAGTTCTGTTGGTTACTAAAATGTGGGACCGCTGGGGCTGAGAGAGTTGGTGACAGAGCACCAAAGTCTGAGGGTCATATATTTTAATATCTTCCTTAACATAATTCAGATTATTGTGTACTCCTGCCTCCTAGAGGATTATTGCTTCTGTGTCACATATGTGTCAGCAGGTGGCAGAGAAGAGAGAGGCTATGTCTCTGGTCAGCATTTTGACCTATGAACATCTGAATGATTAGTAGCCTAGCATTCCATGAAAGCAGTAAACCTGAGAAGACAACCAGACTAAGCAGGCCCAGACAGTCTCCCAGGACAGAGTGACAGATATTAGGACAACCACACTGAGGATCGAGGTCCATGGGCAGGAGTGAAAGGGGCAACTTGCAAGGGGCAACTCTGGCAGACACAGCAAGTAGAGAGCCCAAGACAACCACCATACTGGCACTGTGAGGCCCAGATAAGGAGCTAGACTGAGATGACCACCAGTCTATCCCCAGGCAGGCCTGGGAAACAGACCATGCTTCATACGATCCATGCCTGGAACCAGAATACATATGAAGGTGCCAGTTTCAAACAACACAGGATGATGTTTCACCACTGGAAGCAGCAATATCTGGAAGGCACTTAAAAAACCACACACCGTAATGTTCAACACCGTATAAAGACATATGTTCTTTTTTGCTTAAGGACTGAATAGCTACAATTTTGCTCAGTTAGGAATCTTCCATATTGTGCCTTTTTCTTTTATTTGCTATTATTTCCCACAATTCCTCAGCATAAATATTTGACTAGTGATGATAGATTTAAGTATTATAACAGAAAACAGTGCAACTCAATCAATACATGGCTCTGCTGTATCTTATAAATGGTATTTTCAACTGTCATTCTTGAGATGGAACTAGATAAATTATACTGATTCAGTCTGCAGTCTCACTGTCTGCATGTTGGGCAATATCTCCTAACAAGCTAAGATGTAGAAATGTTTGTGCATTCTTATAACACAAATATTTGAATATCACAGATCACACATCTTTGTCTTTATCTTGACCATCCAGCTTTAATTATCAGTAGAAGAAGTATAATCTTTTTAATCTTCAGTACCTTTTATCTGAAGCCAGGAAATCATTTGTGTCTTTCAGAAATATAAATAAGAGAGGCTAAACAGTATGAGAATGAGCTGGAACCCAGTGATTTTCTAGGAGCTGAACTTGAGTGATGGGTGAGTTACAAATGCCTAGTCATAAAGCAGCTTCTTCAATATACAGAGCACCTTCCCTACCAGAAGTACCACACAGTAGCTTTTGGATGGATTTTGTTATATCAGATTTAATTAGAATACAAAATATTCATATTTTGTAGACTGAACTAAAGGGGGGATTCAATATATTGAATATGGCAACTGAAACAAAACATTTACCTTTTTCTAAATCTGGTTTTGTTTTTTCTAGCATTCTATAGGTTTAAGTCACCTACTGGATAAATATATCCCCAAACAAAGAACCTTTATAAAGCCAGTCATACCTGCATTCAAATTCAATCTCTAACAGCCACAGAACATGTAAGATTTAACAAACAATGTGTGTGCTCTAATAAAAGCACAAACTATACCATAGATGTACTCAGTTTTTAATAGGATGGTGTAACATGGAGAGTATCTTTTAAAAACATTTATGTGTTTAATGATTTTTTTAATGTGTAATGTGTTTGTGCTTCAGTGAGTTTATGTGCAGTGGATGCAAGCAGGTTAGAGAAGTGTAGTCAAGAAGAAAATTGCGAGCCACTTGATGCAGTTGCTATCAATGAAACACAGGTCCTCTGTAAGAGCAGAAAATACTCTTGACTACTGATTCATCCTTTCAGCCCCCATTTTTAAGGAGAATCATACCGGAACTATGTGCTATGCACTTATGTAACACATAATTAGAAGGTAGGAGCTAGTAGTACTTGAACATATGATCCTGAATAGAATGATGACTTCTACTGAGCCTTCTGCTAAGCTAAGATTATATTAGAACTTTACTGGTGGTGGAGAAAGAGGAATCTCACAGGTTCAGGGACTAATTACAGATTGTCTTGGACAAACTTTAGAATATTTAACAATTCTTCCCCATCCACTTCTCTGTCTGAACTAATATCCTTGTGACTAACAGGTATAAGGTTTTATTTACAGACCATAAGCTACCAACAACCACCATGCTAAGTAAGAATGCTTTCAGCACCTGAGACCTACATCAATAATTTCACCACTTCAATTCAATTCTCCTATCAATGTTTCCACCAATGCATTAAAAAGGCTAACATCATGAATTTCTTCGTTCTGTTTCTGGAAAAAGTTCATCAAAATGTTACTAGGTAGGAACATGGAATGAGGGATAACCTAAATCTGTGTTCTCAGGCCAGCATTATTCACACTTGGATGCAGTGTAAACTCTCTCTTAACTTTCTTGGAGGTATGAATTTGTTTTTGTGTTGGCTGCTGGGATGTCCCATAGTGGTGAAGGTATCAGAAGTGAAATTAAGAAGTCTAGGAAGGGGAAAAAGGAGTAATTAATAAGTTAGTATGATAATAACAAAATATTTTCTGTTCC